AAAATTATTTTTAAAATGACTTGAACCATTGCCACGGAACTACTGGAAATTCAGGCTGGATTCAAGAGGCCATGGAATAAAGCCAGACAAATTTTTAAAAATTTTATTTTATTAATTTTAATGAACATTTATAGCGATTTTGGATTTTCATTCATTCATTGTTGCACTTTGTTCTTTACCTCCTCCCCCCAATTAGCTCCTCTCTTTGAAAAACAAAAAAATAAAAAAGAAAAAGAAATAAAAAAAAAAAAAAGATCGACTCCGACCCACCCCCTGACCCCCAGACAAATTTTGGTTGAAAGCAGAGAATACCAGAATAACGTTTACTTCTGTTTTATTGACTATGTAAAGACATTTGACTATGTGGATCATAACAAATTATTGATAACACTGAGAAAAATAGGAATCCCAGAGCAATTGTGTTATGTATAATCTACACCTAGATCAATTAATAGTTGTCTGAAAAGAACAAATGAATAGAACAAGGTTTAAAATCAAGAAAGGTATGCTTCAGAGTTATATAATTTCTCCATAACTATTCAATCTGTATGCTGAACAGATAATATGAGAATCTGGACTATATAAAGAAAAATGTGGCTTCAGGATTGGAGGAAGACTCATTAACTACCTGTGCTATGTAGATGGCACAATCTTACCTACTGAAAATGAAAGAGGACTTGAAACACTTGCTGCAGAAGATCGAAGAGCTTTAGATATGGATTGCTGGGAGGATAGAAAATATGCTAAATGGAGAAAAGATTAAAGTTGCTACTGATTTCATTTTACTTGGATCTACAATCAACACCCATAATAATAGAGGTCAAGAAATCAAAAGACCCGTTGCACTGGGAAAAATCTGTTCTCAAGGACTACTCCAAAGTGCTAAAAAGCGATGACAGCAGTTGAAAGATTAGAGTGTGCTTGATCCAAGCCATGATTTTGTCCAATTGCTTTCCATGTACCTGAAAGATAGACAGTAACTAAGGATGACTGAAGAAGAGAGAGAGAGAGAGAGAGAGAAAGAGAGAATGATAGAAGGATGGTAGAAGAATCAATGTCTTTGAGTCCTGGTGTTGAAGAAGAGTTCGGAATATCCCATGGACTGCCAAAAGAACAAACAGATATGTCTAGAAGGAAGTGTAACCTTATTGGCAAGGATGGAGTAACTTTGTCTCTCATATTCTGGGCATGTTGCCAGGAGTGGCCAGTCCTTGAAAAAGGACGACATGCTGGGAAAAGTGGAGAGTCAGAGAGAGGAACCCTCAACAGGATGGTTGACATAGTGATTCTAGCAATAAGCTCAAGCATATCAGAGATGATGAGGATGACACAGGATAGGGCAAAGCTCAGAGCTGTTGTTCATAAGCTCACTATGAGTTGTAGTCAGTTTGATGGCACACAACATCAACAACAACAACAACAACATATCACTCAGCAACATTTGACCTCATTCCATCCATATTTTCTTTAGTACTTCACAAAGTCTTAATTACTATTTTTTTTCTTATGTGTGTACCGTCAAATCAGATCTGACTGGTACAGGAGATTGTCACTCCTTCTTCAGCAGAGCGTCCGATGGATTTGAACTGTGCACCTCTGGGATTGCAGTGCAGCTTCTTGCCACTAGGTACCAGAGCTCGCCAGTCTTAATTATTTTTAATGGATTCATAATATTTCATTATGTGAATGTATCCCAGTTTCATGAGCCATTCCTCCATGGGTGAGTACATGGAATGTTTCCAACTCTTTGCTATAGGTGATCTGCTTCTAAAGGGCGCAGCCCTGAAAATTGTCCAGCACAATCAGAAACAACCCAATGCAACAGGTTTGATTTCAGAGTCTTGTTTTTATTACTTTGCTTTTAAAATTATCTAGGTTACAAAGGAAGAAGGAAGAGAGATAAATGTCTGTGGATGGAGCATTTCAAGTGGAAATCATTCACTGGAGGCAACTGAAAAGGTAAGGAGAGTGGGGATAGGAAGAGGGCAATCTTGCAAGAGCAGAACTGACATCACTAAGCAAAGAGGTTGTGAATGAAACAATGCAGGGCTCAGGGCACTCAGATGGCCACACTGTTTTCCACCAGGCTGGGCCGCAGGTATTCATAGGGCATTTCCAGTTTCTCATTCCGGCTCTCAATTTCCTTATCCAGGATAGCCAGCTCCTCCCTGAACTTGGTCAGCACAGCTTTGGGCTCAGGATCTGAGAAATACTCCTCCTTGTGCTGGCCCAGAGCCACCTGGGATGGAGAGAAAGGAAACTAAGAGACTAACGGCCACCAGCCACTTGTGTGCATCACCTCCCACAGAGCCTCTCTGCTCAGGACCCAGACACTTGGCTCTCACCATGTAGGGCTGGCGTCTGCCCAGTTGCCAAGTGATAGACATCTGGAGAGAGGCCTGGTGAACGTTGGGCAGCGTGGCCATGACTGTCTTCAGCGTTGCATCCTTGGTGGTTGGTGGGGGCAGCCGCATTGTACAAGGCGTGTTAGGGACCCAAGTGAACCAATCCAGCTGAAGGTGAGTCAAGTGCATGAGGTCAAGGTCTACTGGGCATGAAAACACCTTAGCCCTCCTGCACACAGGTCCCCTCCTCCCTCCACATCTCACATCTCAGCTGCCACCTTGTGGTAAGTACCTACCTGACCCAGGTGGATGGAGGAGTGCTGGCCAGTGCAGGTAAAGATGCACATAGTGACAAAGTGGCAAGCCTGCTCCCGCGACTGCAAGGAGTTGGGAAATCCTGTAAGGGACAAAGAGTGACAAGAATTAGAAGCTGTGAGGACAGGGACAGAAGCAGAGCTCAGAAAGTCACAGCAGAGAAGGAAAAACAGGAGTCAGAGAAGGGACCAAGACTTCTCAGTAAACATTGTGAGAACTGACAAGAGAGTGTGAAAGAGGTCATAGGGAGCTCTCCTGGGAGCTCTCCACCCCACTCAGTGGTGTGCTAGAACTGGCCCACACAGGTTAGAGCACTTTCACATAGGCTCAAAAGAGCAGACTTTGTTAAATTTGCAGGAATTTTGCAAGCTTATTGACTTCATAATATTGTTGTTGTGGTTAATATACCTTCGTGTTGGAACCAACTCATCATTGATTCTCCAATGAATTTGACTTTACAGTAGTAGCTTAGTGCCATTATGTAGATTAAAATTACCCTTGATGGGAGTACTTAAACCTTATTCTTGTTGTGATGTGCCCTCGAGTTGCTTGTGACTCATAGTGACTTTATGTAAAACAGCTCTGAACTCTGCTTTCTCTTGAGCCAACCTTATTGTTTCTGACTCATCCAACCCCATTACTCCAGTCAGAGTCATTCCATCTCATCAAAGGTCTTCCTCTCTTGATCTGTCCTCCACCTTTCCAATCATGAAGTCCCCTTCCAAGGATTGGTCTCTTCTTGCCCAAAATATGTCAGACAGAGCTTCAGAATTCTTGCCTCCAAGGAGCAGCCTGGTTTCACTCTCTCTGAGAAGAACCTGTTTCTTCTTCTAGCAGTCCATGGTGTATTCAATACTCTTCTTAAACACCACAGCTCAAGGGCATCAATTCTCCTTCTATCATCTCTAGTCATTGCCCAGCTTTCTGATGCATAGCAAGTAATTGCAAAGACCATGGCCTGCAACAAGCACACACACCTTGGTCTCTAGACTGGCATCATTGCTCTTCAGTACTCTGGAGAGGTCCCTGACAGTAGACTTTCCCAATGAAATTAGTCTTTTAATTTCCTGGCTGCTGGTACCAAGAATGTTGATTGTGGAACCAAGCAAACTGATTCTGTTAACAATCTCAATCTCTTTATTGACTATCATGATGCTGGAAATTGGTCCAGTGGTGAGAATCTGTTTTCTTGATGTTGAATTTCAATCCATATTGAAGGCTGCAGTTCTTGACCTTCTGCAGCAAATGCCACAGGTCTTCCTCAATTTTGGCAAGCAAGGTTGTGTCATCTGCATAATACAGATTGTTGATATCTGCAGGTTGTTTACATCTTCGAAATGGACAAATCCTGCCAATCAGGGCTTTTTACTCCTAAAGAATGTGTTTATAAACTTCCACTGGCACTTCTGCTCCCATTGGATCTGAGACCTAAAGAGGTCTGTGTACATGGGATAGGGTCTTATTTCTGCCTACAAGAGCAATAACTCTAGGAAAGCCCTTGGGAGATTTCATAGAGGTTGCAAATTTTCTGGAAGATTCCATAGAGGTGGATTTCCACACAGGTAAAGAGAATTCTGGGGAGGTTCCTAGACCTCAGGTCAGGAGGGTATCTTACCTCGATCCTGCGCCCCTTGCAGCCCAATTTCAGTGATCTCCCGACACCAGGCCTGCAGCTCGAGGTCGTCTTTCACAGCTGAGTCCGTCTTATAGTGCAGATTCACAATCCCCTCCACATACCTGCCAGCCACATGGGGAGAAAGCTGGAGCTGACAGAGAGCCCAGGTCCCCCACTCCTCACTCGCACAAGCAGGTTAGCTCCCTCCTTGAGACACAGACCTGCTCCCCTGCCCTTCTCCACCCCTGACCCCCAGCTCACCGATAGGTGATCTCCCAGAGACGCAGTGCATCCTGGCCATAGTAGCATGACTTGACTCCCAGGAGCCCCCGGTCAGCCAAGTCTTCAGGGGGACAAAATGAACCATAGGTAAGGGAGGCTCCAGCTCGCTTGAGCAGCTCCACATGGCCTCCTCCACCTGTGCTCACCACCTGAGGAGGAAAGTCGGTCAGCGCTAGCTGCTCTGAGCCCTACAGCTAGGCGGGACCCAGCATTCTCCTTTCTCTTCTCATACCTGGTCGAAAACTCCCATGTCAGAGACCAGCCCAGACCTGGCCCGGACGTTAATTTCCAGGGTGTATCGAAGGTGAGGAATGACAAGCTAGAGGGAAAAGATCAACGTCAACACAGTGTCATGTTTTTGTAGGAAAAAGGGCAGAGAAAGGAGGGAGGCTCCCTGTCTTCAAAAAAGGCATAGAGCTTAAGTCAATGGTCCATCAACACTGAAGATTTACTTACAGTTGAATGGCATCTCCTACTTTCACGGAGCATTGACTTATTAATCACTTCAGTAAAGCATCTTCTTTTTATTTTCATATACGATTGTTCCAAGTCTAGTCTAGTGTTTCTTTTTACTAATTACCCCAGCCTATGATGGTGAAGGGGGAAGCTCAAGCTGCTCTGAAGGACTTGGAAAAAAGAAACACAAAACAACAAACAAACAAGGCTCCAGGAATTGACAGCACACCAATTGACATATTTCAACAAACAGAGGCTGCCTGGGATATGCTCACCAGGTTGTGCCAAGAAATCTGGAGGACAGCCACCTGGCCAACTGACTGGAAGAGATCCATATTTTTTCCCATTCCAAAAAAAGGTGACCCAACAGAGTGTGGAAATTGTCAAACAATATCATTAACATCACATGCAAGCAAGATCCTGCTGAAAATTATCCAAAAACAACGGAAACAGCACATCAACATAGAACTGTCAGATGTGCATGCTGGGTTTTGAAGAGCCCATGACACTAGGGATATTATAGCCGTTGTTAGACGGATCTTAGCTAAAAGCAGAGTATCAGAGGAGTGTATATCTGTTGTTTCATTGACTATGCAAAGGCATTTGACTGCATAGATCACAACAAACTGTGGCTAACTCTGAGAAGAATGGGAATCCCAGACACTTTATTGTGCTTATGCAAAACCTATACTTGGCCAGGAAGAAGTCATCAGAACAGAGCAAGGAAACACTGAATGGTTCAAAATCAAGAAAGGCATATGCCAGAGATACATCTTATCTTCATACTTTTTCAATCTAGATGCAGAACAGATCATTCGGGTAGCTGGGCTCTATAAGGAAGAATGTGGCATCAGAATTGGAGGAAGACTCATCAACAACCTGTGTTATGCAGATGACACAACCTTGCTTGCCAAAACTGAGGAGGACCTGAGGGATTTGATGCAGAAGTTCAAGGACTGTAGTCTTCAATGTGGATTGAAGCTCAACATCAAGAAAACAAAGATTCTCACCACTGGACCAATTGCCAGCATCATTATAGATGGTGAAAAGATTGAGATTGTTAACAGCTTCAGCTTGCTTGGCTCCACAATCAACATGCTTGGTACCAGCAGCCAGGAAAACAAAAGACAAATTGCATTGGGAAAGTCTGCTGTTAGGGACCTTTCCAGAGTACTGAAGAGCAATGATGCCAGTCTAGAGACCAAGGTGTGTGTGCTTGATGCAGGCCATGGTCTTTATAATTATTGCTGTTCATCAGAGAGCTGGACAATAACTAAGGATGATAGAAGAAGAATTGATGCCTTTGACTTGTGCTGCTGGAGAAGAATACTGAATATATTGTGGACTGTTAAGACAATAAACAGGTCTGACCTGGAGAGGGTGAAAGCAGGCTGCTCCTTAGAGGCAAGGATTTTAAAGCTTCATCTGACATACTTTGGGGATATTGCAAGGAGGGACCAAGTCCTTGGAGTGGGACATCATGCTTGGCAGGGTAGAGAGACAGTACAATAGAGCAAGACCCTGGATGAGATGGATTGACTCAGTGACTGTGAAAATGGGGGTAGGTGTGTCAGTGATGATGAGGTTGGCTCAGGATTGGAATGGTTCAGATCTTTTGTTCATAGGATCACTGTGAGTCATAGTCAACTCAAGGACACATAACAACAATATATAAAATATTGTACCGTATGTGCATCTATACACCAAAAAAATAGAAAATATTTTATCCCTTCCACCAAGAATTATATTAGGCTATTCTTGCTGTTATGTACCATCAAGTTGGAACTGACTCATAGTTGACCCTCCGGTGAGTTTTCAGAGGAAGTTAATTGCACTGGAGCAGACTTTCCATCTTTCTCCCAAGTAACAGCTGGTGAGTTTGAACCACATTCCTTTGGGTTGGCAGCTCAACTCCTTATCCCTAAGCCACCTGAGAGAGTGTATGCATTTGCCCCTGCTTGTTTCCCTATCTTCTCCTTCCTTCTCCCCTTTATCCATTATACTTGCCTCCTTTCTGCTCTTCACAGATGTCAAGCTCATTCTGTGCCAGCACTTTGCACTGGTTGTTCTCTCTGCCTGAAATACTGGGCCAAGGCCTTGATCATCTCATGAAGGCCTGACTTCTTAAAGTCTCAGAGTCTGTCAGCTCTTAAAAGTGACATTCCAAATGACCCTATCCAAACTCTCCATCCAATCATTTAGCACTATATCACCCTGCTTTAATTCTCTAGATTGTACTTACCTCCACTAGAAGTTATGCTCTTTACTAGCTCATTAGATAAAAATTTCAAAAGTTCTGGACCTCATCTGTTGTTTTTTGTTTGTTTTTTTTTAACATTGACATTTAGGTTTTTGCCACATACAAGGCACCCTATAAACTGCTCTAATGGATGGATCATATGGTCTCTTCTTAATAAATCAGGCTAATGCTATCGGTCTGAAGTTATCTAATTGACCTATGTGTTACTAGAACTCTTCAAAGAAAGACTGGAAACAGTATTTTGCATTATGTGCATGGCTCCTTCTGATTGGATGACATTGTCAATCATTTGCATGTAATTTATATGTTGTTATTGCTGTGAGGTGCCCTTGAGGCCATTAGGACTCGTAACAGCATGAACAACAGATCTGAACCTTGCCCCATCCTACACCATCCTCAAGATCTCTGACGTGCTCAAGCCCATTGTGTCAGTCTATCTCTTTAAAGATATTCCTCTTTTTCTCTAACTCTCTACCTTCATGATGTCTCTTTCCAAGGACTGGTTTCTCCTGAAAATATATCTGAAGAAAATTAGATGAAGTTTTACCATCTATGCCTCTAAGGAGCACTGGCGCTACTTGCTTCAAAATTGATTTGTTTCTTCTTTTGGAAGTCCACAGTCTCTATTCAATACTCTTAGCCAATACCAAAACTCAAAAGCATTTATTCTTCTTCATTCTTCTTTTTTAATTGTCTAGCTTTCAGATGCATAGGAAGCAACTAAAAAGGCCATAACCCGTATCAGGTACACCTTGGTTTTTACACTGGCATTCTTTGTTCATTGGACAAATCAGCTGATTTCCCCAATATCTTTTGATTTCATGACAGTTATTACCACTGGATGCTGACTGTGGATACAAGTAAAATGAAACATTTGACATCTTTTCTACATTTATCCTAGTGTTGTCTATTGGTTCAGTTGTTGTCTGTTGTTATGTGCTATCGAGTCAACTACAATTCTTAGAGACCTTATGAAGAAGAGCTCTGAACCCTGACCCATCTCGGGCTAATCTCACTGTCTCTGACACTCCTGCCCCTATTGCCACAGTCACTACATCAATCCATCTCATCCATGGTCTTGCTCTCCTGTGCTGACCCTCCACCCTTCCAAGAATTATGTCTTTCTCCAAGGACTGGTCCCTCCTGGCAAAATGCCCAAATATTGCTTCACAATTCTTGCCTCCAAGAAGCAACCTGGTTTCATCTTCTCCAAGACAGAACTATTTGTTCTCTATTGGTCCAGTGGTAAGAATTTTTTGTTTTCTTAATGTTGATACCATGGTCTTTGCAATCACTTGTTATGCATCAGAGAGTTGGACAATGTCTAGGGAGGATAGAAGGAGAATTGATGCCTTTGAGCTGTGGTGCTGGAGAAGAGTATTGAATGTACCCTGAACTGCCAAGAAAACAAACAGATTCATCCTGGAGAGGGTTAAACCAGGCTTCTCCTTGGAGGCAAGGATTCTGGGGCTCAGTCTGATATACTTTGGACATGTTGTAAGGAGAAACAGGTCCTTGGAGAGGGACATCATACTTGCTAGGGTGGAGGGACAGCACAGGAAGGGAAGGCCCTCTATGAGGTGGATTGATTCAGTAACTGGGGTAATCGGGATGGGTGTGTCAGAGGCACTGCAATTGGCACAGGAGAGAGCACGGTTTAAGGCTGTTGTACATAGAGTCGCTATGAGTCACAAACGACTCGACGGCGTATAACAACAACAAACAGCAATGTTGAGATGCAACCCATATTGAAATCTTCAGTCTTTGATCTTCTGCAGTAAATCCTTTTTCTACTTATTTAGCTTTTTTAGTAAAGTCTTTTTCACTTTCTGCAAGCAGTGTGTTGTATCATCTGTATAATTCAAATTGCTGGATTTTCCTTCAATCCTGATGCTTCATAGAGTCTAGATTCTTGGATTATTTTTTTCTCAGCATATAAACGGAATCAGTAGGGGGGAAAATACAATCGTGATGCAAAGCATTCCTGATTTTAAACCATGCAGTGTCCCCTTATTCTGTTCAGACAACTGCTTCTTGGTCTATATATAGATTTTGCATGTACATAACTGTTCTAGGATTCTCATTCTTCTCAATGTTAGCCATAATTTGTTATGATGCACACAGTCAAATGTCTTGTACACTACTAAACATCTTTCTGCTATTCTCTGCTTTCTGCCAAGATCTATCTGACATGAGCTATGATATCCCTTGTGCCATGGCTTCTTCTGAATCCAGCTTGGATTTTTGGCAGGTCAGTTTTGACTCGATGGTACACAACAACAACCAACCTGTTCATATACAGTTGTAACCATTTTTTGGAAAATTTTCAGCAAGACTTTACTTGCATGTGATATTAATAATATTCTTTGATATTTTCCATAGACTGTCATTTTTTTTAATGGACACAAATACGGATCTCTTCCAGTCAATCAACCAGGTAGCTGACTTCTATATTTGTTGGTAGAGACTGGTGAACATGTTCAAGGTTGCATTTGTTTCCTGAACCTCAACTGATACTCCATTAGCTCCTGAGGCCTTATTTCTTTTTTTCAATGCCTTCAGTGCAGCTTGTCTGTCTTCCTTTAGCCCTGTGGATTCTTGCTCTTGTTCTGCTTCCTTCAATGGTTCCATGTCGGCCGATTCTTTCTGGTACAATAACTCTGTGTATTTCTTTAATATTCTTTTTCTATTTCCTGAGACACTTACAATTTTGCCTATAGAATCCTTGCACGTTACAACTCAAGGCTTGAATTTCTTCTTAGTTCTTTCAGCTTGAGAAATGATGTGTTTTGGTTTTCTAACGCCAGCTCCTTGCACCTTTCATTATAACACTTTGCTTTGCCTTCTTGCCTTGTCCTTTGAAATCTTCTGTTCAGGTCTCTTACTTCAGCATTCCTTCCCCTTGTTTTGGCTTCTTTTCATTTCAGTGCAGTCAGGGTCTCCTTCCGACATGTGTTTTGGTCTGTTCTTTCCTCCATGTCTTTGTCATGCCCTTTTGCTTTCATCATGGATGAGATCCTTGAAGTCATTGCACCACTTATCTGGTTTCCTGTCTTTAGTGCTTAATGAGTCAAACCTAATCTTAACATTGTACCTTTACATATGCTTTGCAAGTGACTTGTCATCAGTCATCTCTAATTCAAGTTGCCTCCCAGGGCTTTCAATGGCTGTTTTTTAAAATAACACACAAAGGTTTTCTCAGCCCTTTCTAAGAATCTCTTAATGGGACTTGACTTGCCACCCTTTCAGTTAGCAGCTTGGTGCATTAACTATTAGTACCACCTGAGACTTCTAACAGGCTGCATGGGTTTCTGCTTTGCACATGAGAAGAGAAGGGCTTTTTTGCTTCTTCCCCCTAAATTCATGTTCACCTCCCTGGTTGAACAGGCATGGCCAGCAGTCTCACCCTTTGCTGGTCTGCCTTTTCATGGCTGATTCTCCCAACACGCTGAGTTCTGCACAGGGGTGCCTTCAGAAGTGGATGTACCATGAGGCAAAGAGAGGAACAGGCAGGAGAGCAGGGAATGAGGTGGTACCTTGAAGATAGGATGGATCGATGGCAGACATCTCATGGTGGCCACAGTAAATACCTCAGCCATCAAGTGTCCCCTCAGAAGATGAGACTGCAGCTCATGGAGCTGGAAGTCTGAGCTCCGGACCCAGCACTTGGCCAAGAGCCAAACCATCTCAGGATCTGTGGGCAGAAAAAGGGGTGGAGGGGCACCTCCTATGCGTGGCAGCTGGAGCTGTCAGACAGAGAGAAGGGAAGACAGGAATGAGCACAGATCCTCAACAGCTTCCTCCTCGCTAGCAGGTTTAACTGTTCCTTTCTTCCTCCAAATCTGCTTGGCTGTCTCCAACTTACTGCTCCTGCCTCTCTCTCTGCCCACCTACAACCATACCCTGTCTTTGCCTCCTTTTCTACCCATTCAGTTTACTCAGATTGTGCAAGTGTGTCTGCCCTCAGCTTTCTCCAAAAACCACTGTCCCACTGCCTTCTCCAGGACCCACTTCCTGTTTTTCACTCTGTTCTGTGTAGACATGATCCAAACAACTTACTTCCTTCATCCCATGCTCTCTTCTAGAAATCTCAGCCTTTCTCTGATCTTCCAAAACCACGTCTACAGATATGACTACTAGGTCCTCAGTTCTCGGGACCTGCTAGACATTACAATCCCAAAGCATTCCCATTACCTCCAAAGTGGCCAGAAGGCACACCACGGCAACTTTCCTTCTTCTTATGTGCCTTATTTCTGGGTCTGTCCTGTCCACACAAGCACCTTGCCTGGCTCCTCCCTTTCCTCCCTCTTTGTATCCAGACCAGTTCCATCTTCCTCTGATCTCCCATCTACCTCTGCCTTCCACCCACCTTCCCCTTCCACCCCCACCACAACTCTCCCTCATCTGATCCCATCACTTCTGCCTGGGGCAAGGAAGTAGCATCCTACCCAAAGCCCTATATGTACCATCAATCTTGGGAGACTCCAACACATTCTGAGAACTCATGCCTCTTTGGCAGTGGCCTTCACCGCTTCCCACATTCACCCTTGTGAGCTTGGCATCCAAAGTCCACCATAGTGTGGCCCCTTTTACCTCTCATGTTTCCCTGACTACCTTCAATGAGAGGAATAGACACAGTGACTGTAGCAATAGGCTCCAGTATGTCAAAGATGATGGCACAGGATAGCAGAGAGTTCAGATCTGTTGTTGCTATGAGATATATTTGACTCAAAGGCACCTAACAACAATACAGCTCAACTATCCACTGATCCTCTCTTTACTCCTCATGTTCAGTGTCATCTCAGCTTCTCAGGATAGTCAATCCTCTCCCTGTGGAGAAAGTCCTTCCCCTTCCTCCTGCTTGTCTAAATTCTAGCCATTCTCCATGGCTCACTCATGCCCACTCCACCTCAGTGATCTTTCCCTGACTGTCTCTGGAATCACAAACTTTCTCAGTTTTCTAGTCGCTTATTCAAACTTACTCTCCATCTAGATTGAAAGACTTCAACATGAAAGGCTATATCTATTTTGCTTCTTCATGCCTCCCACAGTGCCATGGCACAATCCCTTTGCAAAGTGAACTTGTAGGTGCAGGGCTGAGCTGGGAGGTCCTGGGGCCTCACCTGGATGACCATGGGCAAGAGTTTCCCATCAGGCTGAAGCTTCAGCATGACCAGAGGGGCTGCCAGGTGCTGTTGGCTACACAGGATGACATTGGCCTTGATCCCATCCAGCAAGGAGTAGTCAGCTTCAAACAAGGTGCCTCCCTGGAATAAGGAAGGGGCAAGGGCTGTCATCAGTATAAGGCATCTTCTTCCCACTCTAAATCCCAGAAGGGAGAAGAAGAGGACAACTAACTAGTTTCTGTCATAAGTACATATCCTGCAGCAAACCAAGTGCTTACACAATCTTTGTTTATTCCTACTGGCCACGGTTCTATAGAAGATGTTGAGAGTGGTTGAGTGTTTTACCTAAGCTTATGAGCAGCAGATCCAGGATTCAAACCAAAGTCTGACTTACTTCATAACCCCACGTGAGTGCTCTCTATCAAACACCTCATGCTGACTCTTAATTAACATCTCCATCCCTGAAGACCCATATCAATCCCTGAATCCTTAACACCAAGGCCCAGTTATAGTTTCTCATTTTAACTGTCTCTCAACCATCCCTTCATCCTGTGCTCTCTCTCCACTGAGAGGAAGGGAGGGGCAGGAGCTGTTCTCCTGAGGTGAGGAAGGCCATGCTGCTGCCCATGTCCAGGATGGGTCTCTTGCAATCAGGTGGAAGCCCTACCCACAGCAGCATGGCTGATGCTGATCCCACCACATGCCACTCCATCTCCATCTATGGCTTCCTAGGCCTCTTCTATCCCTACCAGAAGTTCCTTCTCCAGCTGGGCCTGCAGCTCCTCCATCCCTGGGGGGAACATCAGACGTTGTGGAAGACGATCAGAGCGTCTGAGAAGCATGGGGTTCGCACCATTGAGAAACTGGTACCCAAATAAAGCATCCTCCTTCCAGGAATCCCGCACTCGTTCTGTAAAAGACATTGATTCAGCGTGTGGGTGGGATCAGAGCTCCTGTTCCTTTTAACCCCCACTGAACCATCCCCATCCCTACTCCCATCAGACCTCAGCCCACCTCAAGGACCAGGTCTGGTTCTTTCCATTCCCCTGGGTTGGGTGGGACCTGAGGGGGAGGCTTCTGGGAGAGAAGTGGGATTGGAAACTGACCAGCAAGCTTGCTTTGGCCACACCAGAAAATCCTGTTGAAGTCATCTAGATCATTCCAACAAGTCAGAATATTTAGAGAATCTTTGATAGCGAGGTCTGCCAGTCTTTAAGAAAGGATGAAACAGTTTGCAAGTTAGGCTGGAAAACAAATGTTCTAACCACCTTGGGCTAGCCCAGCCCTGTCAGGCCATGCCCACCTGCCTCTTGGAGGCCAGGGTGCCTCCCTCTCACCCAGCTTCTGTTCTCACCCTTTAGCCAGTGAAGTCTCAAAGTCAATTCTTTTGTCCTCCAGGAACCGCTCATCAACAGGGAGGTCACTGAGTTTGGTGCCAGCCACATTGAGGATAAGTCCATCTTTCCAGTTACCCCACCTGTGGAGGTGTTGGGGAGGGAACGTTTTCAGGCCTTGAGGCTTTGGAAGTGTCAGCAAGGACTTAGAGGTCTGGAAATTTGGGGGCTGGGGAGATATAGGCTAACCTGTACAGTTTCCGTCTCTCTTCCAGCTCTTCCTCCCTGTATTTCCTGAACAGACCTTGAGGATCGTCAACTACAGTGCGACCTAGTAAGTAGGAGGTGGAAGTAGGGGTATAGATAGTGAGGCTTCTGAGGGTGTCTCCATCCATGCTGCACTCCAGCCCTCTCTGGCTGGCTCCCGTGGGAATCACTTTGTCCCCTGGGTGCAGCCCAGGCGACCCTGATCCTTTTCCTCCCCACCTCCCCTCTCCACTCTCATTACATCTCCCTCCCCAAACCATCCCCATTCTCACCGATGCCCTCGGGCAGCTTCAGGATGCCATCTCCCTCCACCCAGCGGTAACAAGGGAACCTCAACTCAGCGTCGCTGTTCCCTGGGCCCTGCACTGAGATCCAGTTGCAAAACCAGGCGTCATCCTTAAGGAGGCGCCGTTTACGCAGTTTCACGAGCAGCAGCGGCCCCAAGTACTCGGCCACGTCCACCTTGATTTCGTCTTCCTGCAGGGGTCAGAAGAGACCCAAAGTCAGAAGAGGACGGGGTGCCCTAGCTGAGGAAGTCCTGACCCCCACCCCCCAAGACACGCACTTCAGCTTCTGCTGGAGCTCTCGGAAAGCTGCGCAGAGGGATCCGGAAAGAGAGGGCGCGTTTCCACCTGGTGGCCCCAGGACCCATTCCTCCCAACGAATCAATCATCAATCGGGGGAGGGAGAATGGGGAGAGGAGCCTCTTCTCTCCAGTCTACACCTCACCCTCACCCCAGGCCGCCACTGTGCTGAGTGTTGTGCTGGCAGCGGATCCAGCGCGCCCAGAAGCGCAGAGTTAAACCCAGAGACGACCTGCTTAACTTGGTGCTGAAAGCTGTAAAAAGTCCCCCG